TTATTCAACGGCGATTAAAATTATTTATATTAATGATGTCTCCAAAGTTATACGAAGTTTTCGCAGAAAAATAACATTAGAAATCGCGGCCGCGGTTTGCTGCGCCGTTCCGCGACGAAAACAAGCTTGAGCAACGGCGATGTCGAACGGTGCACACTCGACAAGTAATCCTACAATTTTTTGTTTATAGCGTAGTTTATACGCATTATTCCCAAAAAATTATACGTGTTTTGGAAATGTTAAGTCGAATTAGTCTAGAATCGATTAATTTTATGGAAGAAAACCTTTCAAACAGCTGTAGTCCGTAAACTTCACACATGTCAAATACGTGAGCCAATCACAGCCCAATGATTCCTACAACGCAAAATTCGTATAACGAGGAACGTATCTTAGCGTTATAGGGGGTCTACTGTAGTTATTCTGGCATCTGCCACTAAGCTTTATATATCTTGTCTCGATTTTCATCTATCTCACTCTTTTCTTGAGATTAAGGAAGGACAGACAGATATGCAGGAGAATACAGTCAAAATTTATAGGTCTACAATTGTTGAAAATTGCAGCCCAATAATTTTTCTATAAACGCGATATTTACGAGAATATACTTTTCATGTAGTTTATATAATCCGTTGCAAAATATGTACAATTTATTATCACATAAAAGAAATTATTCTCCCATTTTTACAATATTTACTTTCAAACAAGTCATATGAAGTTTTTCAAACGCTAAGGTTAACAACTTTGATCACGTGCGGGGCCACTTTTCAAATATTGATAGTAGACCAGTATTAATCAGTAGTTGTTGACCATCCTCTGTCTTCCAGCAGAAAGTCAACTACTACTTTCGGTCTAATTTCTTCAATGCCCTTCTGCAACAGCCCCTTTCTATCGGACCAGCGGTATGGTGTCATTAAAATAAAGGAAAATTACATAATATAAGATTACCGGGCAGCAAAAATGATATTTTAAGTGGTTTTCGAGGGTGCCGAGTTTAAATATTTGGCCCGTTTTCCGCAAATTTGAATCATTGGCGGATTACCGTTTGATATTCGGTTATGAATGGGTCAGTTTCTTACAGTTGACATTAGGAAAAAATATATTTAAAAATTTTTTTAAATATCATATTTTTATGATATTCAATTGGTGTCTACTTCACCAATGGAATTGTGCCATTTCGTACCATCCGAGTATCGCTATAAACGTGACAATGTAGGCTGAAATAACCAATATCTTTATGCGATTTTCTTTTTAATGTTTGTAATATTAGTGTTTGATTTACATAACTTCAGAGGTTATCATACCGAGTGATCAACCTAATACATTTTAAAAATTTATTATTTTTTTATTGTACGTAAGTAAAGAATTTTTAATTAACAAGTGTTTGATTTGTCACTCGTTTCGATGAACCATTACGTAAGATAACCTTAGAAAATATAAATCAATTACTATAATATAATATAATATAAGACTTAGGATTATTAGATTATTTCGTACTCCTAATTTTTGTTATCATTTTTTGCCCGGAAACGTCGTGCTTATCATCTAGTATACATATATAAGACTGGTTTGCTTTGTTAAACCGTTCGTTCGGTAACTCGCTCGCCTACTTGACGGCATGCCTCTACCGAGCCTAGTAACAAGAAGTTAGAAACCATCGAATGAATCCATCACACTTGCCAATCTTCACTTTATTTTTATTAATATAAACAGTGACGGTTCTAGACACAGGGAATCTTTAGCCTGTTGTACTGTCAGGAGCCGCAAATACTCGCAAACAAGTATAAGTCACAGTTTGCTCCTAAACTAGTTCGGATACGAATGTTATAAGGTATCAAGTATAGTGTGATTTGGGCTTCATACGAGGATGCGTACTTAGGACTCTCAAAGTTGTTATGGTTATAAATAAATTGTTTTCGTAGACAACATAAATCAATTTAGAGACAATACAAATAATTTATATTAGACAAATTAAGTATAGAGCATAAAAAATACTTTTATATGAATTAAGATATTCAATACCATCTAAGAAAGAAAAAATTTAATTATTTTCTGCATAAAATAAAGTTTTAGCATTAAAATTCACATAATGAACTAAATTTTATTTATATATTTACATCAGAATTTATTTGCATTTGTATAACTTGTTAATACATTCGATGTCGGATTCTGACAAAATTTGCCATTCGTAAACTTCTTTAATGGTAACATTTGGAAGAATTGGCATTAAACTTATTTTACCATCTTTAGCGAAGGATTTAGGACCATAATGCATAATGCTATCGTAACTATAATGGTCACATATTCTCAAGATATTCTTATCGTACAACTGAAATTCCGTCTTAAATTCTGTTTGTTAAAGAAAAGGCATCAGTTCAAACTTTTATGCATAAAAGTACATTGAATAGTATAACATACCATCTGTAATATTATTCCATAAAATTTTTATATATTTATCACGATCTGGTCGATTATGTTCGTGATACAATCCAATAGCGTGGCATAATTCGTGAAGTATTATTCCGATGTTCCAACATCCACTTCCTAAATTAAGAATCTGACGTCCACCCTCCTTTCCAACCATGGAATTACATCTGAAATATATATATATATATATATTAAAATAAATATATAAATAATTAAATATCCTTATCAATTTTCTTACCCTTTACCTTCCTGTATATAAATATAATTATTCTCTCTTCTTCTTTTAATAAAACGTAAGCAAGTTACATACTCCATGTAGTCAAAAATTGACTTTAAAATCCTAGTTCTATAAGAACCTAGTAGAAACTACTATTATTATTTTAATGGATATCGTTTATTACTTCAAATACAACAAAGTAACGTACTTATATCAGGAGAAAACTTGTAAAATATTAAACCATCATCCCAAAGTTTACTCGGTATTAATACAGCTGCTCGACTCTAAATATTTTAAAATTCTTTAATTTAAAAAATTTCTGGATATAATTTTATATCGATACAATAATAAATATATGTTAAGAGCCTTTACAAAGTTTGTGGCATTCGTTATCCATGCGACAGTCCAAATACAGATACCACGAAAAGCGTCACCATTTTGAATGGAAACCCGAAACGACCTGAGAAAATTATTGTGCTCATTGTGGGTTTTTCCAGGTCCCTTATCGTGGACGTGGGCAAACTCACAATGGGCACTACATAAGGCTTCTCTTGTGTCCACAAGAAAAAAGGAGTAGAAAATCCGAAAAACAAAATACGCATAAGAATATTAAACATCGAGACATTGTTTTCTTCTATTCGAGAGATCTTAGTTACACTGGTGAATGATATGATTAGGATGCCACATTCTCAGTCGTCTAAATGTTGATCTTCGGCAAGGTCTGGATTCCGGGTTTACCATAAAAAATTTCTAAGAAACTCCTTCATAATGAATGCCCAATTTTAATATGTAACATACAAGTGGCGAGAGAACTTAATGGATAGACGCTAACCAGGAAATTGGACACGTCTCTTGCGATTCTGTTAAAGAAATTAGAAGGTACGAAGATCATTGGAAGACATGCAGGCATCGCTTTTCCCTCGAAACTCCAAAAACAATAACTGTAGGTCCTAAAAATGAACAAACGAAGGTTAAATGTGTAAAAATTTATAAATTACCTCTCCCAATGACGTGTCCAATCTAATATCGCCTTCGAATAAATCCACATTTTCCATAGAACTCTTATACAAAGTATAATTAAAGGTTTCATTGTTTGCCAAATCCACATAATCCATAAAGCTCTTATACAAAGTATAATTGAAAGTTTCATTATTTACTGAAACAATTCTTTGATAGGAAAGGAATAAACATCTATAAAGATAAATTAATTAAAATTCTGTAATAATGATAATATTACAATTAATATAATTATAATACAGTACTTACAAAGTGATTATATAGAAAATCATAATCGTCTTGCTTATAAATTAAGGATTTCCTTGTTTACCTTATAAGTTCCTTACATTAACAATAAAAATTCATTACAAATACAGCATAATTATTAGAGGTATTTACAAAATCGAGATATAATGTCGATTA